GATCAGGGTTGTTACGGCTACAACAGAGAGTCGGATTTCTCTGGGAGAGGAGGGGGGGGCGTTGCCACTGTGATGGGAAGACACGACATTCTCATGAGGCGAACTTGGAAGGGAGACCGAGACAAGAGCTTCAGGCGGCATTCTCCTCAGGAGAGGTGGTCTGGGAAGGCTGCAGCATGGTAGATGGAGACTTCTCTGGGGAGAGGAAATCGCGAAAGACAAAGACAAGGAAAGAAAGGGGATTCCTCAGGAAGAAGGGCCGGCGAAGGACCGACGCAAGGGAGAGAGCTTTTCTTGGGGGAGAAGGCGATTAGGAAAGCACCCATGTCTATGACCTTTGCGTCGTTGAGGAGAGACTCTCAGTTTACAACGTGAATTCGGCACGGAGGTCCTGCGAGCTCGACTGCTGGTTACGAAGCGGACGCTACGACGCCTTTCTGTCAGGTGCTAGCCAGGCCACGAACCAACCCTGATCGTGAGTACATCCTTGTAAACCCCTCACTGTATTTACCTCCACCCCACCACTACCCCTCTCTGTCCTTTCCCCCTTTTCTAGCTCTGTCAGGTGCTAGGCCAAGGCCAATGAAACCAACACTCTGATTGTGAGTACTGCTGGACCCCTCCTATTACCTTCACCCCACCACTACCCTCTCTTGTCCTTTCCCCTTTCTAGCCTTTCTGTTTCAGGTGGCTTAGGCACAGGCATGAACCAACACCTGATCGTGAGTACATTGCTTGTAACGAGCTCACTATTACGCTCACCCACCACTACCCCTCTCTGTCTTTTCCCCTTCCTAGCTTCTGATTCAGCCTGCTAAGGGCACGGCATGAACCAACACCTGCGATTCGTGAGTACATTGCTTGTACCCCTCACTATTACCTCACCCCACCACTACCCCTCTCTGTCCTTTTTCCCCCTTCCTAGCTTCTGTCAGGTGCTAGGCACAGGCATGAACCAACACCTGATTGTGAGTACATGCCGTTGCTACCCTGCACTATTACCTACCCCACCACTACCCCTCTCTGTCCTTTCCCCCTTCCCTAGCCTTTCTACGACCCCCGTCCGCCCCAGGCGCGTCAGGTGCGTGAGGCACAGGCTATGAACCACACCTGCATAATCGTGAGTACATGCTTGCTACCCCTCACTATTACCTCACCCCACCACTACCCCTCTCTGTCCTTTCCCCCTTCCTAGCTTCTGTCAGACGCACACGCACACGCACACGCACACGCACACGCACACGCACACGCACACGCACACACACACACACATCTGTTCACCCACCCGCACGTACAAGGCTACAAGGCTCCAAGCAGGCAAAGGTACAAGCATCCACAGACGCCTGCTATCGCCACGTCTACGGCTCGCGGTCATTCACAAAAGATTTTGCTCACTTGTTGATTTCGGTGCTGGTCCAGGATGGGGGCGCTATCGTCAGCAGCAGCGCCCACGCCGATAGAGCGCTGGCGTGCAGCAGGGTGACATCTGGTGGCAGGTTAGGACGAGAGCCGTCGCCCTTGAAAAACGACGCCTTGAAGACGTTAAGCAAACCATCCATGATCGAGACAAGGTTCTGAAACGGGGAAAAGACGTTCAAAAACATATAGAGAATGAAAAACAAAATACGGCAATGACAACACGACACCCGTCTCCCTTGTCACATGTTCTGATGTATTATCAACCCCTGATGATAACATTCACATAATTAAATAAAAGTGTCAATGCAACTGTAGCTCACCACAAAAAAGGACACAAATAAGTGAGTGAGAAGAAGTCCGTTTTAATTGAGCAACCATCGCTGTACATTATAGAAACAAAGAGTATATATGGGAGAACTCCCATTATATACTCTTGATAATTATATGTGTAATTTTGTGTGTGAAAATAAATGTTTGAGATGTGAAAGTCTGAGATGTGTGCGAGTGATGGCGTTACACCTAAATGATCGCCATTTAACGTTTTTATAATATTCAGATTTAGGCACTGCCTAAACGCGGAGCTCCCGATGTGTAACGTGTAAGATTGAGAGGATACGCTTATTCCACGTAGCTGCTATATACCACGTGACAATGGTGTTTCCCTGCCCATAACACAACTTTTGTCAAAGGTTAATTGGTTGCATGGAAGTGTTTACTTCGTATGAGTTTTTCTAGGCTGTAGCACACGGTTGCCATCTGTATATCGCAATAATAATTTATAAACCAAAATGAATCACAATTTGTGACGATAGATAGCGCTATACCCGCTTTTGTGTTTCTTAGCGATGGCGTTCGAAATAAATAGATTATGCTGCGTTCCGACATGTTTTGTAAAACGTTACTGTAATATAGACGTTTTATCGGCAGGGTGGAGAGAAAATACCAATTTTGCATTAAAGATATTGTCAATGAAATCTTGTAAAACGAACCAGACGAGTGACACCACAGACTGTTGTGTCTATATAATATGCTATATAATTGCCAAAACCTAACTAATTTGCTTTCTTTTTTTAATATCAAAACCCCTAGCCATTATTCATTCACATACCAAAAATGAGCAAAATCCATTAAACCTGAACTGACTAATGGCAATTCCCATTTTTGCCAAAAGATTGCCGTGGCTCGAAAGTACGTCGACTGGCGTGCTCCAAAATAGGACATTCAATATGGGAGCATAGCAGTAACAACTATACCCAATTTCAAACATGTGGGTGGTCAAACGGTTCCTGAGTTATCGTTGACCGTAGACAAATGTTGACGGACGAACGGACGGACGGACGGACGGACGGACGGACGGACGACGGACAACGACCCATGGCAATAGCTCATCTTGACGATGTCAAGGTGAGCTAAAAATGTATTGCGAAACGCACTGTTATATTCGTTGTGCAAGCACGCGTGAATGTGCTCCTACATCATAAAAAAAACAAGTATACTAGCATACTGAATCTAATGCATACAGTATATATGCACAGACAACTCGTATGCAAACGGTATTATATAGAGACAGACTAGCCGAGATTCTGGAGTCAGAGACTTACCTCATTCTCCCCTCCAGCTATGAAGCAACAGAGTCCTAACGCATCAGCACACTGAAAGCAACAATATACAGCAGTCAGAGATTAACCCCGCACTTAAATATTGTTATTAAATTATGAAATATATATATATTAATTTATAATATATAGTAAATATTGTTATATTTCTCGCCGCTAACTCCTCATCCTCCCCTTTTTCCGAGATCTACAATAATGTACATTGCTAACTTTATAGCTCACTGGCACTGAGATAGAGAGAGGCTGATCAAAAATGCGTGGATTTGCGTCACACAGAGACGGTCCATGCACCTCCCCTTCACACACGTCTACTGTGATGTCCCTCTGCTCCCTTACATGCTCATCTCAAGGAGGCTTTACGGTCACACATCTCTCTCTGCTCTACCTGCTTCTCTTAGCTCTGCGATAACACACACCCATCCATCCACCTTTTTCCTCCAAATTTTGTGTTGATAAAAGTTGTTGTGATAACAAATCGCAGGTGAAATGAAAATGCTGCGAAAAGCTCTCCCTCCCTCCCTCCCTCCCTCCCTCCCTCCTCCCTCCCTCCCTCCTCCCCCAGCTTACACTGCTGCGAGCTTTCAGAGCGGCCGTCTGGTCCTTCATGATCGTTAGGAAGATGCTTCGGAGCGGCGCGTATAAGCTCTCGATGTCGTCGACGATGCCCAGCTGAACGCAGAGCAGGCAGGCGACGGCAGCAGCCTGTGTCTGCTCCTCACCTTTACCCTTCTTCAGACACCGCTCCAGGGCGTCAGCGATCGTCATCTTCCTGCAGACGGCAGACGCACGATTATAACACGACGGACGGATAGACAGACCGTTAGTGTGTTAGAACGGACGGCAGACGGACAGATAGACAGACCTGCCGTCCGTTCTAACACACTAACGATGCACGATTAACACGTTAGACTGACAAAGATTTTACGTCGTTGATGTAAGACTGACGACTCGATCTTAGACTGGCGCGCGTTAGATATCACGACGGGATTCCGCGAATTCGCGCAAATCGCAATTCCAACTTCGAAACTAATTAATGCATGCTGTAATTGCACTGATAATCAATTTAATATGTGACAATAATTTAACTCTAGATGATCAAATTTAATTGATATTATTAACGATTGATGACCGAACAGTATAATATAAAGTGTAATGATGTTTAAAAGTGTAATTCGTGGCTTTAGAGAGTTAAGAGAATGCACGCAAGAAAGATCACAGTGGGCCGGGCGCGTCATCTGCGCGAGTGTGGGTTTCCCCCGGTTACCGTAAACCGGATTTTCGCGTTTCTGGCGACGAGCCAGATTCACGCAGGCGGACAGTTTATCGAACGCGGCCATCTCTCTACATTACGTAACGTTGCGACAGAGACACCCCCCCCCCAACCCTCCGCGCGCGCTCAACTGACACGTCACGTCACGTTACCGGCTCGTACGAAACTGGAACCTCTGCCGAAAACATTTCCATCGCTAACTATATTACGATATTTCCACCGCGAACACTGGAACGGATCCGGTCCGAGCGATCGCCGCTCTTTCAGTTTCATTGCGGAGGAAACGCATGCTCTCACCTGTCACCGACGAAGTCAACAGCGATCTTCTTGGACAGGCCGGAGCGGATGCCAGTGAGGGCGGCCTGACGTGCCTTCGCGCTGTACGAACGAAGAAACGATCGCGTGAACAACAACTCTTCACCATCGCGAATCATTCGAGATGGATTCCTTCCGAAACTTAACTGCACTCAAACTGTTTCGGAGAAAATATAGCTTATTATTATGAATATTATGATTGTTATTCTCGCCGTAGTCGATTTTGTCACGATCGTATTTATCGTTAAATTATTATAATCACGATTATTGTTATAATAAATGTTTTTCTTGAGTGGGGAAGGCAGAAATTGCCAGTATTTGTAAGACAATTTACGCTCTACTCTACATGTAGCATTGTGACTGTGGTTATACGACTGTATGCATATGAACTAGATCTTTGGATAATTGGCAGGTCAGGTAGAGAACCGGTATGTGAACGAAACACTTTCTCCATTATACATCATCTTGAAATCAGAGCGAGCACTGAGACTAGAGGGAAAACTAGTAACCTAGATTACGCTGAGAGATAGAGAGGCAGAGCTTTTAACCTCTCAAATTACACACGGCAGAAGGCGTACGTAGCGGTTATAATACACCACTGCACCGATTCCATACACTTTCTCTCGCACGCCTCACCGACTCTCACCTCTTCTCTGCCAGCCCGTCGATCTGTTCGCGCATCTTGTTCTCAAACTCCTCCTGCGCGGAGATGTCGTCGATCTCACCCGCATCACCAGGTGGCGCCACTCCCGGTCCTGCCGCCAAAAAAACAAACGTCGCCAGATGTAGACACGTGTGTACTCGCTCTTCCTACGTACCAAGCACGAGAGACACGGCGAAACACGAACGGCGAGCGAGATTTCGCACGTACGATTCGACCACTCACGGTCCGGCTCAACATATTAAAACCGCGTTAGTACGATATCGCCTTTCCTTATCGCCTCCCTTTCCAACGGCATTGCGTAAGACAAATCATATACCTCATCATATACCTCGCTCACGGCCCGCGCCCCACAACCCTGCACTGTGCAGTGGCGTGCGAGCTCAAGCTGTAGGTGAGGAATCTAATGCGACCGTTATATTTCGAGATTGAAGTGCGAGAAATCGGTTCTAAAAAGATTTTTGGTAAATTTTCAAGGGGTATTTCAGACTCGCGATAGAACGTGATAGATACGTCTCGTGCACTCGCTGCACTCATATGAGAATATAATTTCTTGTAAGTTGAACACGAGATAATCTCAGGACAAACACTAGTAGAAAATTATATTCCTCGTTATGCTATTATATTATTATTATTATTATTATTGTTTACTACCATGGGTTCTCGCCTTCGTTCCCCACCATTAAAGAAATAGCGTTAAAAAGCGAACGACCCTGCACACGAGACCAAGGACAGGCTGCTACACAACCCCAGGCAGTAGCAACAAGCTACTGTAATACCTCAAAAGAATGACAACGTGCAGTAACCAAACCCAGAATTTCAAGGCTGCGTATGCCGCGCAAACATGTCCATCCGCCGCATGCTCGTACGAAGTGTGCATGACACGGTATACAGTCATACATACACACACAGGTTTAATAATACAATTTAACGTGAAACGAAATGAATAAAATAACATAACATTCACGGTCACCACTCGCAAATGCTTTTAAAAAACACACGGTCAAAACGAATGAAAGGAGAGTTAATTATTTCTGCGGGACCCCTGGACGAACAGCGAAATATTGTGAATTTCGCGGTTGTAAGTATTCTGTAATAATAGTAGTACGCCAACCAAGAGTGACATGGTAACTCTTCCAGCACACAGGGATGTATACATGTTCGTACGCCACCTACCACGCGCCACCTGGTGTTCCTCGTCGGAACTACTCGACTGCGCCGCGCCGCCGGAAAACTCGAGATCACAGGAGCCGCTGTCGCCTAGCAGCGACGACCACGGCGACGCAGCCTCCTCCGCGAACCTCTCCCTTGGCATGGCTTCACCAGACGAGATACGCGAGCGTCGGCGCCGGTCTAAGTCAACTCTAGCTTGATACGGGGTCAGTCTATGTCGGCGTGTGTCACTTCACGCGCAGATGCCAAAACTAACGCGAACTTACACGAACTAACGCCAAAACTAAGTCTTTACTGCTCCACCGATCAACCACGAAGTTACGGCCAATTCTCGGTAAAAGTGGGTCGCGTGCGGCGAGTGATCGGTGCAGACTGCCGCCGTCACGTCAAACGACGGGGCGCAACAAAGGGGGCAAGCGGATAGGTGGCAGTCTAGACCGTGATGCAATGCGAGTTGGAGACGAGCGGGCCGTTGCACGGTCATTGTGCAACAATGCGAAATAACAACAGATGCACCGCTGCTGCCGCGCATAGGGTCTATGTCCCCCAGGGTACTGCCGGAACGTACCCTGGGTACGGTCTGGTATACCGGAACGTACCCTGGTAACTATCTGATATGGTTAGGGTTAGGGTTACTGGTTAGGGTTAGGGATAGAGTTAGGGTTAGAGTTAGGGTTGGGGTTAGGGTTACCGGCCTTTTGTGTTTTTAGCGTATGGCGTCGAAATAATAGTTTTATTGCTGCTGTCTCCGACATGTTTTTGTAAAAACGCTTTACTGTGAATATAGACGTTTTGTCGGGCGGGGTGAGGTGAAAATACCAGTTTTGCATTAAGTTTGTCAATGATCTGGTAACGAACGACGGTGACACACAGATGGGTATGTGTCTATATATATGCTATATTTTGCAAACCTAGAATTTGCTTTTTTTTTTTATATCAAACCCTAGATTTAATTCATTCACATACAAAAATGGAGCAAATCTATTAAACTGAACTGTGAATGCAATTCCGATTTTTGCAAAGATATGCGGTGGCTCGAAGTCGTCGACTTCGGCGTGCTCCAAATTGGGACATTCAATTATGGGAGCATAGCCAGTAACAACTATACCAATTTCAACAAGCATGGTGGTGGTAAATGGTTGCTGAGTTAATCCGGTGGTGACGTATGACATGTTGTACCACGAACGGCACGGTGACGGACGGAGGTCGACTCGAGGACGGTCCGCCCGCGGACGGACGGACGGACCACGACCATGGCAATAGCTCATCTTGAACGATGTAAGGTGAGCTAAAATGGTATTTGCGAAACGCATGTGTATATTCGTTTGTGCTGAAGACCGTGAATTGTGCTCCTACTTCATAAACACAAGTATACTAGCTACTGAATCTAATTGGCCATACAGTATATATGCACAGACAATGTATGGCAATACGGTATTATATGGACGGCTAGCGAGATTCTGCGGTCATGAGACTTCCTCATTCCTGCTCAGTTTGAGCAAACAGGAGTCGTAACGCATCAGCACTGAAGCAACAATTACAGCAGTCAGAGATTACCCCGCCTTAATATTGTTATTAATTTAGAAATATATATATATTAATTTATATATATAGTAATTATTGTTATATTTCTCGCGCTAATCCTCGTCCTCCCCTTTTTTCGAGATCTACGGTTTAATGTACATGCTACTTATAATAGCTCCACTGGCACTGAGATAGAGAGATGGCTGATCAGAAAATCGCTGGATTGCTGCGTTCACACAGAGACGGTCCACTGCACGATCACCCTTTCACATACGTCTACTGTGATGTCCCTCTGCTCCTTACCATGCTCATCTTTCAGGCAGGCTTTACGGTCACAACATATCTCTTGCTGCGTCTACCGCGTTCTCTTAGCTACTGCGATAAAACACCATCTCAACTTTTTCTTAAAATTTTTGTGTCATAAGTTTGTTGTGATACAATCGCAGGTGAATGAAAATGTGCGAAATGTCTCCCTCCTCCCGTCCTCCCTTCCTCCCTCTCCTCCTCCTCCTCCCAGCTTACACTGCTGCGGCTTTCAGAGCGGCGCGTCTGGTCCTTCTATATGATCGTTAGGAAGATGCTTCGGAGACGGCGCGCGTATAGCTTCGGATGTCGTCGCGATTCAGTCTGACGCCGAGCAGGGCAGCGGACGCAGCAGCTGTGTATGCTCCGTTCACTTTTACCCTTCTTTCGTAAGCGCTCCAGGGCGTCAGCCGGATCGTTCATTTCCTTGGCAGACGGCGACGCACGATTATAGACGACGGACACGGATGACAGACCGTTAGATGTGTTGACGGACGCGACGGGACAGATATAAGACCGTTAGTGTCGTTAGAAGGCGGCAAGTGCCGATTATACCACGACGGACGATAGAAGGACGTTTAGTGTATTTAGAACGGACGGCAGCGGCAGATAGACGACGTAGTGTGTTTAACGACGAGGACGACGAGATAAGAGCAGACCGTTAGTGTGTGCTTGACGGACGGGCGGGCGACTGTACGAGGACGGGATAGCAGACGTTTGTGTGTTAGACGGCGGCAAGACGC